CGATGCCATGGATCAAAGTTCAAAGGTGAGATCTTTTCCCCCCCTCCGTCCTTGTTTGATTTTGATGAGCGAGAGAGCGAGAGATTTTTGGGAGAAATAATAATTGGAGGTAGAGAGGACATATGGGTCCATTGACATGTGCAAGAGAAAGCTTGCATTCATTGCTGCTGCTTGCTTGCTCGCTCGCTCGCTCGCTCTTGCTTTTGTCTCCGTAACGTCAAATGATGGCCACGCCTTTATTCTTGTTTTTATTGAGATATTTATTGTGCCATTTTCAAACAGTAAATTTGGTTTCGATCGCTCGCGCTCATTATGCAACACCTCACATGTCCCCACTGTTTATCTCATATTTTGAGTCATTGGGGAATTTTTCAATTTTATTTAAGTTTTGATCCTAGACTCCACGGGGTTCTCGATGCGGAGTTCATGCACCCTTTTCCTTGAGCTTCTAAGAATTACATGGAAATAATTAAAGAGGTAGGCTCCCTTTGATTCTCTGTCCAAGTTGATGTACATATATACTACAAACACAACTAGAATTTTTCCTCGGCTGATTTCAGATTCGTGCTCACCCTGCAGACAGGAATATATTGATACCTCATAGAAATATATCACAAATTTAGCTGATTAGATTACACAGGCAGATCACCAAACATACAAGTCTAAGCTGGAATTTTCCAGTCTTTACATAATATGAACCCGTTACCGGAATTTATTCAGGAAATCCACATGACGAAGCGTAACACGATGCTAGCTAGAGTTCTCTGATTCACGGTCGCGTTACAAAGAGAAACCCGCAACCCCAACCTCACCTTCACGTCCTTCCATTCATTCACCCGCGGCGTATGACTCGACCTTGGAGCCACCGCGTCGATCGACGTACCCTCCCTTCATCTCCACCATTCTGCTCGTCTCGACTTCAAACCCGCGCGCTCAGACCCTCCCGAACCCTCGCCAGGTTTCTCGGTATCCTTCTCGGTTTTCGCAACGTCGATCCGTGCTCTGTCTGTCTTCTTCAACGCTCATCCAGAAACACGAAACTCGTGTTTGCCCAGTTCAACTAGTTCTTTCACGAGCGTCTTGACGTGATGGTATCAAAAGGGCCACCTGTTCGGGAGAAATCGAGCCCAATCTATAGTTGATAGACCTTAAATAGAATTAAGAACAATTATAACTCAAAATTTATAGCTACTAAGTATTAGCTCCAGCTCTTATTTAAATTCACCATTTTTTTCCTTTTCCTATCCAATGTGAGACTACATATTAATGACTTTAACACTAATGAGCCATTTTTGGCTTTGTATGAAGGAAATTTAATGCCCCAAAAGGACTGAAAAGTACCAAAAAATCTCTCTCAAAGCTTCAACAAATCAACGATGAGCTTCTTCAAATACTAATTTTCCCCACCTTTTCTCTTCTTTCTTTCATCTCTAAAACTCGGCAATGAGAGAAAATAACGACAGAGAATAAAAGGAAGGCTTAATTGCCCTTAAATGTCCTATAGTTTATCCCATCTTGCATCTTTACGTAACTCGAGTCTCAGCTCTACGCATATGGGTCGAGCCAATGCGATCAATTCGATGGGCTGATGCATTGCGGCAACGAGCATCCGCATAGTTTGTTTTGTCCAGGGACAATGCGTGAGCGAGACACCGACTACTGCTAGCAGCGTCAAATCCCCGTACGGTTGAGCCCACCGTATTAACTAACGTCTGCTTTCTTTTCACGCAATTATGGGCATAAATTCTAGCATGGTCCTGAGAAAAATTCTTTATCCATATCCACCAAAATCGAATACATATCCAGATCGAATTCGAGGAGAAGTGTAGTAATAACGAAGCGGATACAAGAGAGAGTATCAACGTGTTGGACACAATTATAAATATAAATTCTAGCATGCTACGCTATCAAATAAGAAGTTGGCGAGAAAAAACACGGGTTATACGAAGACGATATCAATTACAAAGAAACCCAGATGCAGAGCAATAATGCAGTTTTGTTTAATATAGTTTCCGACAAATATTTTCAAGAATTTGAAAGAACTCTCACAACGCGAGCAACTGAAAGTGTCAAGATCGCAATGAACATTTTGAGAAATTCCAGGAAATCACCCTGCATGTGATCCTAGATGAAATTAAGGCGACAAGGGGATAAAGATTAATCCTTATGAATTGTGTTGAGGAATACGTAGTTATATTAAAAATAATATATTAGGAGTATAAATTAGAAAATTGGTGATTGAGAGATATTAGAAACTAACTAAGAGAATAATCATATTTAGTCTCATATTGACTACCCAATAAATTTCTTGTTATTGTATCTCTATATAAAGGGGAGTGGTGGTAGCTTTTAAAATATAAATGAGAATCTATAATATTTTATTGATTAACATGGTATCGAAGCCATACAAACCCTAACCTCCACAAAACCCTGGATCCTCACAAAACCTGACCCCCCCGGTTCGTTACCATCAAACTTTGTCTTCCGCGGCAACTGTTCTGCGCGAAATAGTATCCTCGTTATTGTTCATCACAAACAATGCTTTTGCTCCTTGTTTGCTATGCTTTTGACGGACTTGTTGATGATCAAGATTGTTATTATTAACAGCAATAGTCGTCCTAATATACATGTTCTCATTGTCGCTTATGCTACCCCAATTTGCCTTCATTCTCACCGCCTATGCAACTTGTCGACACCATCGTTGTCACCGCTTATCTTCTAGAAATCTTGACTATCATTAGCTACTGGAAACAAAAAAATTTTGATTGAATCATGATTTGGTTTGGACTTTAGTTTGATGAAGGTTATTTTCTTGGCTTTTTTATTTGTTTGGTGGATCCCTAAAGAGGGATCATTTGTTTAGCTGATTCCTAAAGAATGATCATTTGTTTGTTAAATCCTATAGAGGATCGTTTGTTTGGTTGATCCATGAAGATGATTGTTTATTGGGTTGATCCGTGAAGAGGATCGTTTGTTTGGTTGATCCCTCAAGAGGATCGTTTGTTTGGTTGATCTGTGAATATGATCATTTATTTGATTAATAGGTGAAGAGAATCTTTTGTTTGGTGGGTCCGTAGAGAGAATCGTTTGCTTAGTGGGTCCTTGGTGAGGATCTTTTTTTGGTATTTCCCTAGTCGATCTGTGAAGAAGATCGAGGTATCGCATTTGGTGATTTTGGTTGAGGTTGTTCATGGTGAAGACATTCAAGTAGAAGACTTGAAGATGAAGACAGCTATGATGAGAAGGTCATGTAGAATATATCAGCCTTTTAATTCATGTTACAATTTGGAGCGAGTACATCTTATTTGTAACAAGCCGAACATGTATGATATACATACTCCAGCTTGAACGGGAGTGTTAAGTAATATATTATGGAGTGTTATGGTTATATTAGGAAAAATATATTAAGAGTATTGTTATGGTCAGTCACCATACTAAGTTAGAGATGTCGCAAGAATGTCTGCGTAGATCCAAGAGAGCTATGATCCGAACCAACTTAGACTCAGAGGCCCAGCCAATGTCAAGTCTCTCGGCCAGTCGAACAGACAAGCCATCTTTTGATCAAGGGTCATCATGACCGACTCGAAGCACGCAATCAGTCACCCCTTCGTAATTAAGACGACTCCTCGAGCAGCCGACTTGACCATACACTCGACCCAAAGCTCACTCGACTATCGGATCGATAAATGATAATGAGGGCTCGCAGATCAAACGCACCTCAACTAAAGGGATAAGACCTCACCGAGCTCACTTCAGATGTCAATCGACATAACAGTACTGATTAGTCTCATCAAGATCTCCATTCTGACAAGCCTTGTGCCCAAGCCGCTTATTCTGCTTACAAGTCACTTCTCAGAGATTGCCATGATGCTCTCCTGTGCACGAGTGACCTCTCTTCCAATTGCCAGCCGCCATCTGGAGAAAGAAGGACGGCTAAGCAGCCGACCCATCCTATGTCATGCCTCTTTTGACAAATCCAGGGTACTGAGAAGACATATCTTTCCTGTACCCGAATGACTTCCCTTCCAATCGTCAGCCGACATCTGGAAGGAGAAGGATGACTCAGCAGTCTATCTGCCTGCCCAGCAATCGCCCTCATGTGCAAAAGAAAAGCCAAAATCTCAGAGGCAATGGACTATAAAAAGGAGGTAAGGAGGGTAAGGACAGAGAGGTTGATCTCTGCTTCTTCTTACACCTAAACTTTACTCCCTTTTGAATCTTATTTTTACATAAAGAGAATTTAATAACTCTTAGAGAGGAACCCCTGCAATGACCCCAATGGCCCAGGGGCCTCTCAAAAAACCTCCCTCAAGCTCCACAGCTGACTTGACCGTCGGAGGTACCACGAGGGAAACTAGCCCTGTACTCCTGCGATTCTTGCATGTGCAGGCTATCAGTCCACCCCGCGCGCTCAGAATCGGGCATAAAGTCGGAGGAGAAGTCGGCCCCAACATTCATCATCTCCTTCTTCTCCACCGACGTCAGAATCGAAACTGCATCCGACGGCGGAGGACCCCCATCGACTGTTTGTTAACGAGCATCAACAAGTATAAATTAGAGATTTAGTGATTGAGAGACATTAGGAATATAACTAGCTAAGAGAATAATTGTGTTAATTTAGTCTTATATTGACTACATAATAAACTTCTTGTTACTGTATCCATATATAAAGGAGAGTAATTGTAGCTTTTATAAAATATAAATGAGAATTTATAATATTTTATTGTTTAACAAATTGTGCCTTTTTGTATTCATGACTCAAGATCCGGGAACTTTCTGAAGTCAAGAGCTCAAATATTTGCAGAAAGGGCAAGCAGGGTCCAGACTTGTTGAACTTTGCATCCGAGTCAAAGTTCTCTACTTATCACTGAGAAGCTACTCAGAAATTGCTTCGACAGTAGAACTAAGGTGTTGTAATTGCAATACAAGTAGCAGTCGAGTGCAGCTGTGGTTGTTGACGCCATTGTCACATGCAGTGCTGTTGTCACATGCGGTTGCTTGATTCAATTTTTTAAAAATTTTGCAATTCGCAACGGGTGATTGTAATTGCAGTGGATGTTTGTTTTGTGACATCAGATTTCTTGAGCTTCCATTATATGTTGGCTGTAATTGAAACCATAAAATAAACTTCACTTGCAGCGCAAAAAGATTCGCTGTAGATTAAGTCTAAATCTGCCAGTGATGATATCTCACATTGCCAAAGCACCCTTTGCTGCTGTGTTCACAAGACCAAAAGTGAACACGCTCAATATCACTGGCTCAGAATCAATGCTGTTGTTTGTCGAGGACTTGTATTCTGACCCATTTGCCATGTGAACGTCCGTGTTAATCGCTCTCGTCCTCATGCGCGAAGTTCTGGAGTTTTCAGAGATGCTCTTAAACGTCACTCGAATTACGGCGCATTGTGGTTAAATTTTAGATGGTTGTACGATCGCAAGTTGCGGTTAAGGATTGAGAGATAATTTTATAGCATTGCCCCCCTGCAAGCTGAATGTTTCTTCTGTGTGTTGGAAACCTGTTCAACTTTTAAGTCCTGACCAGTGGGATTTAAGCTTGGATTGCTCAGTAACTCATTTCAAAGTCTTTTTCACTCTCTCTCGAAACTCTGAAGTTCTGGTGGGATTTGACCGTTTGAGTGTTGTAATTTATAACCTGTGGACACGGTAAGGAAAATTTCAAACCCCGCTGACAAAGAAGCTTATACAACTTAGAAAATCAAGCTAAGGACTAATATTTTTGTCATGTGTTTGCACTGATACCTGATTGCTGAAAGGGAGAGAACAATTAACACAACTTCTATTGACTGCTTATAGCACAGGGGATTTGATACACGCGGTAGGTTCAACCAGAAGAAAAGTAGGAATCTATGCGCAACTTAAACGATAAATCTCAGTTTTGTCGTATGAAGTAAACAATCCAAAGCTGCCAACTCCCATTATCAGTTATACACCACATATATGCCTTCAGATTTGCCAGCATGCTATATGGCGATGCATGTTCTCACGGAACCTAGAAGCTACAGGACGCAACGATGTAGTGTCCGTCTCTTATAATGGCGAAACACACACCAAACACCTTTCCTAATTTGTTCAACCAATTTGAAGGTTTACTTAATTTCGTTTGGCCGTCATTAATGTTGAAATAGCGATATCTATCCAGTGAAATGAAACATCAAACATTCTAACCGACCTTTATGATTTGCAACCAGTCAGATACTTATAATTTCACTTGCATTTTTGAAGTACAAAGGGAAGTAGTAAGTGTAACTAATATCCAACTTTCTCAGGCAAACACAGGCAGTCGTGTCACCTCCGAACATTATAATCACAATTACATTCCTGTATGTTGGTTGTGTACTTATCATCCAATCAATATCCGATTTTGTCTCAAACCCGTTACAGAACTTCATGACGTTAGTCCTAATTTGCCCTTTGCCTCTCAATAAACCAAGAATCCTCTTCGAAATAGCGTTCAATATTCCCTTCCATTGTTGATTTCAGCTAAAAATTTGGTAACACATAGTTTCCAAGTACTATGTTCCTCTGTGCATGAATATATAAACTTTGATGACATTCAAGCACCAAACTTCCAAACTTTAATAGTGGGTAGCTGCTCATATTGGAATCAAGTGAATGATTATAGAAGCAAGTATACAACATAATTTAATCAGAAAAACAAACATTTGGCAACCGTAAAAGGAGCATATGAATTTTGTTTGAAGCAGTCAAACAGAGTGAATAACTCTTCAGCAACAAAATTTTGTTACATTGATGTAGTTATGTAAGGACAATACTTTGTTCAGTTACATGAAACAAAGGAAACTTTAGCACACAAGTTCCTAAATTGAGCACACAAAGATAAATAACTAGCGATACGACCCCAGGAATGCACTAATGTAAGATAATGCAAGCATTTAAATCATAAGAAAATCACAATACTATCTGAAAGCACGAAGGGCGCTGCTATTTAGCCAATTGCAAGTTTGGCTGCATTGGTTGCACTCCCAAAGCCATCTGCACCTCCGATGCATAATCTGTCCCTCCCTGGTGGCATCCATGCCGGTTCCGTTCCATTGCTAATTCCTGATGGTGCTGCAAGCAATAAGAAAGGATATGTCAAATTATAATATGGCAAGTTCTCCAAGAATCAGGCAGGACAAGCACGCCAAGACCTAAATATACTAGATTCAAAACTTCATGTGCAATCATCTACTAAATAAAACCTTTTTTCTTTTCAGCATGATAAAAATTGAAAAATCATCAAAAGCAAATTCTCCCCATGTTGCATGGCACTGTGTGAGGAGCGAGTGCTCAAATGAAACTTAAAACCCCGTTATCAGTATGCAACAGCCAAACATGAATATGTGATGAATTTATGATTTTACAATAGCTAAAATTGGCTAAGTATTTAGAGCCGCCTCATGATATGTAATTCAAGCTCATACACAACTTTAGCAGTGTATACATATGTACAGGTTCGATAACTATCTAAAGGGGTAAACATCCACATGGATGGTGTATTTTCTGTTTTAAAGGATAAGGTATTCTTTTCCGGTTTGGTTTATAAAATATTGAATACCAAAACCTTTGGCTAGTTGCGTTTAGCGCATTACCAGATAATAAGCCAATTTCTCATTCTCCTCTTCCAACATCTTCCCCTGCATATTGTGCACAAGAACACAACATCAGATAATTAATTACAAGACCCCTGGAAAAAAAGATAAAAAGGGAATTTTAAATTCACAAAAAAAGGCTTTGCAGAATCCTTCAAGCTTACATTTAGCTTGAGCATCTTCAAGAAATCCATCTGCAATAATAACAATAGTATGTCAGCAAAATGCCAAAAGTACCTTCATTCTCTTATTGACTTAAAATGAAAGAACAAGGGAAAATCATCTCACTTGCTTAGCGCGAACGTTAGTCATGCCATTCTGCAAGGCTTCTTCAATTGGTATCAGTTCTCTCGGATTCAACGAGTTCAGATCTTCACCCTTCAAGTGCCTAATCAACAGAGACAAACCAATTCCACTAAAATCACATTAAAAAAACCAATTCCACTAAGATCACATAAAAACAAACCAAAAACAATGGGCTGATTTTTCACTAGAAGAACAAAACCTGAGCTTGATCTGCAAGTTATCATTCTCCCTCTTGATCCGTTCAATCTCCGCACTCAAATTCTACCAAAAAACAAAAAATCAGCAAAAAAAACGTAGTTTAATTCAATAAAGTTCATCGCAATTCCATACAACTAAAGTTCCATAAATTTCAAAACCTGAGGTTCAAATCTGCTAAAAAATACCCCAAGTTTCACCATTTTAAACAATAATACCTTACGCTGCCCCAACATTAAAACATCTTTTGAGTTGCATCATGTGATTATCGCATGATAAAACATAAACTTCTAAAATGAAAAGAAATCTACCTGAATCTTTTTCTTCTTCCTTCAAATGTTCATCTCTAAACCCATCAAAATTAAAAACATTAATCTATTTCTTCAACTTTTTCCAACCCAAATGGCCTAAATTCGACATCAAACCGTCATAAAGCACCCTCGCTAATACTCACAGGAAGATCGAAACTGATCAAAACTGTATGCAATAAAGTTAAAAAGTGGTGGGAAAACCCTGAGATAAATCTATGCGCAAATTTGAACTTCACGTTACCAAAGTCAAATTTTGGTGAAACTTTAAGGTACTAAGCTGCAATTAACCCCTAAAAGAACGAATCTTTGGTCAGATTTTCACCTCGTGCTTCGCATCCCAAAGCTTCTTCCCAGAATGCTGCTGATACTTCTCCAACATCTTCGGCAATCTAATAAGAAACCGAACTCATGATTTTTAAAAAAAAAGAACATGTCTTTATCCAAAAAAAAAAACATCAACCCTCAACAAAAATCTCCCAACTCACGTAGTATTAGGGCTACAGAACTCGCTAATCTTGCCAAGGCTCGAGAAAACAACAACGGAGATCTCACTCTCACAGAGCACGCTGATCTCCCTCGCCTTCTTCATGATCCCATTCCTGCGCTTCGAGAACGTGACCTGGCGATTGGTCGAGTTCTCGATCCGCTTGATCTCGATCTTCCCCCTCCCCATTTCGATCTTGATCTCAAATTTGGGAAATTTTGGGGAGGGATTGAGGAGGAATTAGGGTTTAAAGAGGGAGGGGGAGCCTCCCGGGCTTCCATTTTGGGAATGGGTTTGGGAGAACTTTCGACTGGGGCAGAGTGAGGGGTTTGTTTTTGGGAGGGAAAGTACAGTTGATGGAGAAAGGGGGCGTTTTCGTCGAGTTCGGAAAAAGTTGGGGGGTTTGAGTGAATAATTTTAGTACGGACAATTTGCAGGGATTTGTACTTTGTTTAATTGTTGACCTTTCAAGTTGGGCATTTAATGTAGAGGGATAAAAACTCTGCTCCAGACAAAATTGCATTCGGAAATTGGTTTATTTAATTTTGCCACCATAGAATTTGTTGATAAAAGAGTGTTTAATATTTATAATTACAAATGTTTTTGTGTTAACTTTCTTTTTTTACATGCAATCGCTCACAATTGATCACAAAGGTCATTGATCCTAGGTGTCTAGTTGCACCCCTAAAAAAATTTAATTTCGCATCTAAAATGTTGTACTGTTTGACAATTCGCTTGCTGACTATGTTAAGGGGCTGTTTGGTTCGTTTTTTAACTCGATGGAAAAGTTTTACACCTCCTCTACATCAGATTTTTCGTGGCCACGTAGGATATAAGCTTTCCGTCGATTTTTTTCTCATCTTTGATTCGCTAGGGTTGAAGAAGGCAAACTCGGTGAAAATCGCCGCCACATCAGATTTTTTTCTCTCCCTCATTTCCTTCCTCAACCTCGTGAAATCGATGAAAACTGCAGCCACGTCAACTTTTTGCCATATAAACAAAAGTTTTCCCCTTTTTTCCATGCGAACCAAACACAAGAAAAATAAATACATTGGTTTTCCACCATTTTTTTTGTGCGAACCAAAGCGAAACAACCTATTTATTGAAAAAGTTTAGAAAACTCAAAACTTGTGTTTTTGTACATGGAAATGCATTTCCCTATATCTAGGAAACGAACCAAACAGCCCCTAATGATATATATTTGTCACGTGTCGAGCTGCAAATTGTGCTAATAAAGCTCTAGTAGTACCTTTCGACTAACAACAAATTATTGATAGTTTTCGAAAGAGGATAATGTGAAAAAGTTTTGGAACAATCGTTCAAATATGCTCTCCCTAGAAAACATCTCTCTGGTCATGTTGATACTTTTAAATTTACTTTTAACGCTAAATTGCCTAAATTGCTTAATTATTATCTTCTGCTTCAGTTATTGCTCAACCCATGCGGCCCTTTAAAGCCTAGGCCCAATAAAACCAAGACCGGCCCACCTCATTTCCCGCAACACGACGATACCGTTGCCCGAGCACAGCTCAGCAACAACCGTCACCTTCTCAAGAAAGACTCAGGTCTTCCAATAAATAAATTAATTAATTAATAAATAGGTAAATAAATTAAAAAAAGAGGGTGGTAATCCAAAAGAAGATGCCGGAGAATTTCTCCATCGAATCGAGCTGTAAAATAAAAATAAAAATAAAAAACTTTTTAAGAGGGGTTATCTCAAAAACCCCCACCTCTTAAAAAGTTCCCTGCTTTCCTGTCTTCATTCCCACCGGAATTAAAAAGTTTCGACTTTTATTATTTCAGGTACGCGATTTTTTTTTTCTTTCCATTTTTCTTCGAATTCCTTTCCCTTAATCCTCAAGTTATCATTATTGATTGATTGAGTTGTAATCGCTAGGGTTCTTCTGGAGGCAAGTTTGTTAGTTTTTTTTTTTTTTTTAATTTTACAGATTTTTCAATGAATAGCTGTGCCTTTTTCGAGTTTAGAATCGTAGAGGAGCAGAGCATGGGGATTCTTGAATTTTAAGGCATATGTTGTAATCTATGATTTTGTTTAGAGAAAATTACCATGTGTTGGACTCATTAATTTACTAAAAGATTATAGATTTTGTATATGCATAGCAAAAATGAATTAGCTCTGAACTCTAGACAACATGTCAAAATGTTTGGTAATCAATAGATAAGTAGATACTACACATATAAATTAATACGCGTCAAATGGTGGGAAGGTTTATTTTCTTTTAGAGACACTTGACATCCTAGCCTTGAGTCCAAATATTTCACTTTTAAATTTTTTTTTTTTTGGGTTGCCGCTCACTTGGAGACTTTAGGAAACCTCAATAGCAAGTCGAGCTATCATCATGGTAACGTTACCGTTCCGCTTCGATGTCAGTACTTCATAGAAGTTGATGAGGCTCAGCCATGCCAATTGAAACTTATCGATCAATTTAATCAGCAACGGACAAGATATAAACCTATCAGTAGTATGGGTCCTAATAACAGTGATAGATTGTTGTTTCTTGATATTTTTGAAGTGAACTAGAATACGTAGTGGTGAACAATTAATAGCTGGTTTGCCCCGAGTGTTACGGGGAAGAGTTAAGATCTTTAGCACACAGGTTTCCTCAAAGTAAAAGTGATCGAAACCATTCCGAAAACAGAATAAATAGATTGAATAGTATGTCGTGCTTGAGGGAGCACACTAGGTTCCGAGACCTGGGTTTAGGGTTCAAATGTGTTGTTTTAAACCTTGATAATATTAGCTATTACTTGGTATGTCCTGGAAATACTTCTCTCATTGTCAGGGAATGGAAACGGAAATGTTAGTAATCAATGATAGTAGATTAGAAGAACAACTGAAATATAGACTGGAAACCGATCTGATTCCCGAGTGAACTGATTTAAATCAAGGAACGCCGTCTTCCTGAGGTTTGATGGGCTGGCCTTCCTGGCTCTGACTTATTCTGTAGATGGCATTATTGAGCCATATAAGATCCATCATTGATCAAACTCATCCATTTTAGTTAGCTTACATAGATTTATGCTCAAGCTACAGAATCAAATTTGGGCATGATTTTATTTTAATGAGAGCTAGTCAAGCCTCTTAGATCTTTATGTAGCCGGTTGAAACTGATCAAACTGCATTCGGTTTTCATTCTCCATTACATGTTAATATTTTTTTCATTAGGGGATATAAACTTTGCAATTCTTTTCCTTTTTCCCCCTTCATGTCTGCTCTTTTAACTTTCAAGGACCAGTTAGTGCTTGATGAATAATTACTTATCTTTCTATTTGCAGAACCTTGTTCTTGATTTTGGAAGGCAATTCAGGTAGTGCTGTCATCAAGTTTCTTCTGTAACTTGTATGAGTTTATAATCTTCATCCAAGGCTTTCATGTCATTACCATCTCATTCTGTACCATCTTCCATATTCTTTATCTTCTGTCCAACATTTCATTATTCTCTCAAGAATTTCACCTTTATTTGGTCTTTTCTATCCTCATAAGTTTTTTGAGAGATGGTAATTAACACACCATATGAAGATGTGATTCCGTACCTTCCCATGTCAAATGCCATGGAATTGAGTTTTTTTCCCCCTTTTAAAGATCTGAAACGCATACGATCGTGCAGGGAGAACAGCAGTGTGAACAATATCACTTCTCCATTTTATCTTTTATGCGAACCCTTCCAATAAGGTGAAATATTGGATTTTTTTTAATTTAAAGCTGATGAACTTTCTCCCTCGAAATGCAATGTCGAGGAGCCAAATACAGCAGAGGAATTGAGGATGCTTCAAAACCTAGCATGCTTCCATATGGACTTCAATAAAATGAACAAGTTAAACTCATAATAGACATACGAGGATATTTTTTTATTTAATATTGCTAAACTGAACAGTCCCTCATCAATGCAATGTGAAGGTCTATAAGTTTCTTGAGATATGCACCTTGTTTGTGTTGAATGTCAACATCAACTTATCATTTCTTTCTTTGCCCTTCATCAGCTCTTGTGGATCTTGTAAGTTCTGTGTAAATTACTGTTGTCTCCTATTTTAATTGTTTTGGAATCACCAATCCTCGTGTATTTGCCTTCCATCACGAAGCATTGGTCCATGTATGCACATGCTTTTGTACATGAACCAATACCTTGACTATGTACATCAAACTCCAAGAAACAGGCAACAACTGAAATTTCATTTCATTTGCACATAAAATGCGATAAAGCCATAGTAACCAACACCCACCAGCTGTTAGATACCCTTGTATAAGATTTTTGTTACCCCTTTCAGATTTAATCTTGATATTGTGTACAATGAAGGTTTAGTCTCGTTACTGTTTCGTTGTGTGTTCTATATAGACTTCAAGGTAATTTCTTGAAAAGGTAATTTTCAATCTTGAAACAGTCATGCAGCTGTATCATCATCCTTACTCAATGGACAGTCAGAAAGTGAGGCTTGCATTGGAAGAATGTGGCATCGACTACACATCTTACCATGTCAATCCTATTACAGGAAAGAACATGGACGCCTCATTCTTCCGAATGAATCCCTCAGCAACACTTCCAGTATTCCAAAACGGTTCTCAAGTCATTTACCGAGCCATGGATATAATCCTGTAATTTTCTTTCTCTTGTCTCTCTTGCAATTAGAATAGTCCAATGAACCTGTCTTGAAGTTAGATTCTGTGTTACAGGTACATAGATAGACTGATCGTCTCTTTAGAATGCAAGGATTCTTCTATCACTACCGAAGTTATGGACTGGGTACATAGATAGACTGATCGTCTCTTTAGAATGCAAGGATTCTTCTATCACTACCGAAGTTATGGACTGGATGTTAAAGATAGAAGAGTGGGATCTTAGAATGCAAGGATTCTTCTATCACTACCGAAGTTATGGACTGGATGTTAAAGATAGAAGAGTGGGATCCTAAGATTTTCACCTTATCTCATGTCCCTAACAAATATCGACTATTTGTTTCGAAATTTGTCCGTCGGGTTGTCATTGCTAGGATGTCCGAGGCTCCAGACTTAGCCAGTGTCTACCACATGAAACTTAGAGATGCCTATGAGATTGAAGACAAGTTGAAGGATCAAGATATTATAGATCAAAGCGAGGAAAAACTGGTTAAACTTCTTGATGATGCCGAGATGCAGTTGCATGAGACCCAATATCTCGCTGGTCGAGAGTTCACTTTTGCTGACTCAATGTTTGTACCAGTTTTAGTGAGGATAACACTATTGAACCTGGAAAAGGAGTACATTGATTGCAGGCCTCAGATAAAGGAGTATTATCAGTTGGTGAAGCGAAGGTCCAGTTATAAGAAAGTCATTGGAAAGCATTTTTCGGGATGGAGAAAGTATCGGATATTAGTGAAGACTGTGTGCTTCCTTTGTATCAGAAGTCTGTTCAGAATGTACTAGGAAATTTTAAAAAAAAAGAAGAAGAAGAGGAATACTTGTACAGTGTTATGGCAATGGTCAGTGTGTTCCTCCTGCACTTTTTTAAGGAAAGGAACATCAAAGAATAATGAGTCAGTGTGATCAAATTTGTGAAGTGTGAAGTTGACTAGTATATGTTTTTCACCCCTGTTTTCGTTGTCTCTACAAGTATGAGGATGATATCTTCATCTTGATTTTTGTAAAGGTGATAATGGTATTGCTTGCTTCTGTAAACTGTACTGATTTCATAATAAGAATGAAGTGAGTATTGAAAACTGGGGAAGTGACATACTGGAGTAATCCAAGGGCTACATGAAAAATATTCTCAGCTTACAAATTCTTTTATCTGTCTCAGGTATGAAAATTTCTTTGTAAATTTACTCGTCTTTTCGCTGATATTGGATATCGATAACTGGTCTGTAAATCTTGCTTGTCCTCCTGAAAAGTTATGATATTTTCATTAGCACAGGACTCTTTTTTTTTTTACAGCATTCTGTATTTGCATATACCTCATCTTCATCAAATCTCTTGCCCTCTGATTCTTGAGGGGTGGTGTGTTACTTGTTGGGAATTTAACGCCTAAACCCCTAATGCAACAGAAACGCAGTATAGAAAAAGTACACCAAGATTTACGAGGTTCGGCAACTGCCTACGTCCTCGGGAGCCACACAGATAATTTCTTATTAATCAAACAAGAAATTACAATTATAAGAGCAGATCAAAAATGAGATCTCTCAATTAAACACTGTAGCTACAGTGTTAATAATTAAAGGGTATGAACCCTTTCAATTCTCACTTGAGAATAAATACCCCACAATTAAAAAACCCTTTTTAATTCCCTCTCTCTCTTTTTAAATCTCCTCTTCTACTGTTGAAGATTGGGAAATGTAAAAATCGCTTCTGCGATTTTAGAGCAGCCGTCGCCGCCAGAGGAAGAAAATCGGAGGAGGGGAGGAGAAGCACAGCAGGCGAAACCCTAGGGATGGGGTTTCCTTTTATAGACGGGGATTTGTGGGGGGCTGGCGACAGCCTGTCGCCAGCGGATAACCTGACGCAAAGATCGGGGTGCGTTCGCCGAAGTGTGCGTTCGCAGAAGTGTGCGTTCGCCGAAAGTGTGCGTTCGCCGAAAGGGTTGCGTTTGTCGACTTCGCCTGCGTCATCTCCGCCATTCTCGAGCTCGTCGGAGCTCGTCGGAGGTTTGGTTTCCACCCCCAATTCTAACAGAGAGGAGATAAAATTCCCAGGTATCAAGGAGAAAAAAGGAACTGACAACAATTAATTGTTTGTCCAAACTCTGAGACATAAAATCAAAGTATAAACTTACTTGTCACAGATCATCCTGTCTCATTACCTCTGAAGTAGCCTGCAAATGTCTTCCATTCGAAAATCTTCGAAGTATATTGCAAATGTCTTCTATTCGAAAATAAAGTTGCTCCTGTACCACATTACCTCTGAAGTACCCTGCAAATGTCTTCTACTTGAAAATCTTTTGAGGTATAATGCAAATGTCTTCAAGTAGTATGTAGCAAACTAGCACTACAGGCATTCGGATCATGTAATAGACTAATTACTTCTGAATGTATCACAGTATCAGATGAAGTTCTAGATTATACCAGCTACGCAAACGGATTTCATTATAGGAAATCTCTCTATTTTTCCTTCTTTCATCCATCTGATAAATTACACGAGAACTCTCATGGGATACACAAAATTGCTCTTCCAGCCATCACTTCTTCATTATTCACTATGACTCATGCACTAGAAATCTTCACAAGTCCCATCCAGGGCCTTTCTATATTCTTCATATACTATCTTCATCATAGACCTTTGCATCCTCGAAAACTTGCCAGTCTGACAACTACTAGTAACAGCAACATTTTAGAATTATCCAATCGTGGAATGCACAACTATAAAACATTGCAGCAGAATTTCAGGATGCACACAACTTAAGCAGAATCCTTTTAAGACTGCTAAGCTCATCTCTTCTTAAAAGAAAAAGAATCAATGATTTTTCAACCATGAGAAGTGTAAAAAAAACCTTCTTGGATGATAAGAATTTTAATTTCATTCCACGGATTATCACCAAACTTACAAACACAGATTTAAGAGCAACAACCCTAAATCTAAGACCAACAAACATTAGACTATCACCAACAGTAAAATCTACAAAAGAAAGGGGGAAAAATGGAAGACTTCTTCAACTGTCGTCATCAGCAGCAGACTTTGATGAGCCTCCAGCCTTCTTTGGGAGGAGGAGATTGTGAATGTTGGGCATCACTCCACCATTGGCAATAGTGACAGTGCCCAAGAGTTTCGAGAGCTCCTCGTCATTCCGCACTGCCAATTGAATGTGTCTTGGTACGATTCTGGTCTTTTTGTTGTCTCTTGCTGCGTTTCCAGCAAGCTCCAAAACCTATTAACAGAAAATTTTATTAAGGAGAAAAAAGTCAAGGCAACATCAAAGATTAAATTAATCAATATAAACTCAATAGAACCTGTAATATTAGTTCTGATGAATGCCCATTTTCAAGTCATTATATTTCCTATTTTGGGGGACAGGCTAAAATATAATTATTGGTATGAAGATGATTCAGAAATTTCTCAGCACCAAATCTAAAAGAACCATGAACTGCAAACTATCAACAGCATAACAAATTAACTAATAAGATTAGTACAAATTAATTATTTATCAAAATACATAACTTCCCTGAGAAATACCCGTTTTGAAATTATTATTGGCTGATTTTTGGGAAAAGGGTAGGATAATTTACTGGGAACCAAGAAAAATAACTAATATTTTTATTCCTAAACTAAAATAGAACAAACAATAAATAACCAACAATTAGCAATCAAATTTCTAAGAATTGACAATACGCATATGAAAGTTATTATCAAAAACAAATATGAATGAAACAAACCAAGAGTATTAACACAATTTCAATTTAAACCATACTTAAAAATATAACCAATAATACATTAAACTTTCCAAGTGCAATAGATTTAACCCATTATCACGAATTCCCATGAAATTAACAAGATCCACATAAAACAAGTAAAAGTTCGCCGCAGAAGAGAATTTATGCTAATAACATTCAGACTCAAAATTAAGCAAAAAAAACATCAAATTTCAATACCTCAGCAGCGAGATACTCGAGCACAGCGGCGAGATACACCGGAGCACCGGCGCCAACCCTCTCAGCGTATTTTCCCGCCTTCAAGAACCTAGCGATCCTACCAACGGGGAATTGGAGCCCAGCCTTGCTGCTCCTAGAAGTCGCCTTCTTCGACGCTGCGGATCCAATCGCCTTTCCTCTTCCCGCCATTGAGAATCTCGATCTAGGGTTTGTGAATTTTGCGGTTAGGCTTTTTGAGGACGAAAGAGGGAAGGAGGAAGAGGAGAATTTGAGATTATTTAATGAGTAATTGTTTGCGTTTTATTTATAGGGTTGCGTTCAGAATTAGGAAAGACGAGTGTAGAAGCTACCCTCCAAATTTCACATCGATCGGACCACGGATGAGGGTCCGATCGTCACGCCGATCACAACTGCGCAAATCTGACCTTTCTTCTCCTCTCTTGTTCTCTCTTTCTTTTAATTTAATCCAGCCCTCTACCACCAGCCCTATTTTGCTGTGAAAACCCCCTATTTGTAGGAGTTTAAGGGGTATAACTATCCCCCTTAATTAGCTCCATGATGGAGGTTAGTTGCCCTATTAAGTGGAGGACCGTTTCAAGGATTTGAAATGGTCAAACGCGACCTTCGCGTTGAAGAGATTGTCAATTATAATCTTTTTTTTATTTTTGAACTTTTGTGAGGATCGTCAGATTGTAATCCTTACATTTAGCTCTTGATAATATGAGAGTCGTCAATTTGTAACTCCCGATGTTGATTGTGAAGGCTGTTGAATTAGAGCTTTCATCAGTTGTTATGAAGGTCGTCAGATTGTAACATTCTACGTGAAAGTCTTCAAATTATAGCCTTCTGAAAGTCGTTAAATTGTAACTTCCGTCATCGGTGTTTGATGAGAATTAGCTATCTGTTGTGATTTTTAGACAGCCTACAGAACCCCCTCCAAAGTTTTCGAAAGTTCGCGGTTGACTGAGACGAATTTTCGGAATACTTTGGATCTCAACTCTGATCTTGGAGCTATTAATTCCTTGTCATAAAGGAGTTGTTCTCTACACCCGCTTCAAAGGCATGTTGGTTGAAGGGATTTTCCACGCAGGACTCGTATGAGGATGAGCTTCGAAGAGAAACTGTAGCAAAGGTACAAGCTACTTATGAGCAGAAGCTCTCAAACATCACGTCACGGCTCACATCCATTCAGCTGATCGGCCCGCAAACATTCATAGGATTTTTGGCAAATCCTCAGCCATCAACGGATTTGATAATCCTTTACCGACTACCATTTGAGTCGGGCTAGCATGTGGATTGTCTAAATCCGTTCCACATGTAACGTTGTGCTAAGAGAATGAACCCTCTTAGACTTAATGCTATGATTTTGAATACATAGACTTTGTCATTTTCACGGGAAAAGACTAACCGGCAACGCGTGTCGATAAGTGGATTTTTGTCAGAGGTGTAGTGTTAACGTGACAAGAAGAATATTGCTATGGAAGCAATTTTGAGGACTTATCGCTCTATTGAAGAGAGTCGATAAGTGGATTTTTGTCAGAGGTGTAGTGTTAACGTGACAAGAAGAATATTGCTATGGAAGCAATTTTGAGGACTTATCGCTCTATTGAAGAGAGTCGATAAGTGGATTTTTGTCAGAGGTGTAGTGTTAACGTGACAAGAAGAATATTGCTATGGAAGCAATTTTGAGGACTTATCGCTCTATTGAAGAGAGTCGATAAGTGGATTTTTGTCAGAGGTGTAGTGTTAACGTGACAAGAAGAATATTGCTATGGAAGCAATTTTGAGGACTTATCGCTCTATTGAAGAGAGTCGATAAGTGGATTTTTGTCAGAGGTGTAGTGTTAACGTGACAAGAAGAATATTGCTATGGAAGCAATTTTGAGGACTTATCGCTCTATTGAAGAGAGTCGATAAGTGGATTTTTGTCAGAGGTGTAGTGTTAACGTGACAAGAAGAATATTGCTATGGAAGCAATTTTGAGGACTTATCGCTCTATTGAAGAGAGTCAATAAGTGGATTTTTGTCAGAGGTGTAGTGTTAACGTGACAAGAAGAATATTGCTATGGAAGCAATTTTGAGGACTTATCGCTCTATTGAAGAGAGTCGATAAGTGGATTTTTTGTCAGAGGTGTAGTGT